TGGCAAACAAAGATGTGTAGATGACACCATCCACTACGATGACGACCTAGTCAAACATTGGTGGCGGACAATCGAATTTCTTGAGCTTGTTGGCAAAGCTGGGATCATTTTGAACCCACAAAAATTCCAATTTGCTAAAAGAATAGTGGATTTTGCAGGTTTCAGAATATCTGAAAATGGAGTTGAACCACTACCTAAATATATCGATGCCATTAGATCATTTCCAACACCATCCTTAATAACAGACATCCGATCTTGGTTCGGCTTAGTGACCCAAGTATCACATTACGCTCAACTTCGAGAAACTATGGCCCCATTCAGAGTTCTGCTTAGCCCTAAATCAAAATTTTATTGGTCGGACGAACTCAACACTTTATTCAACGTGTCAAAGGAAAAAATTATCAATGCAATTAAAGATGGAGTCCAAATATTTGACATTACCAAGAAGACCTGTTTAAGATGCGACTGGTCAAAATTGGGGATAGGATATTACCTAAGCCAAAAACATTGTGAATGTAAATCGGACTCCCCAGATTGCTGTATAGACGGATGGAAAATAACCCTAGCAGGGTCCAGATTCCTGTCATCTGCTGAACAACGATATGCACCAGTTGAGGGCGAAATGCTAGCAGTGGCATGGAGCCTGGAGCAGACTAAATATTTCACACAAGGTTGTGATAACCTTATGGTAGTAACTGATCATAAACCACTTGTCAAATTATTAGGAGATAGGACCTTAGATGAAATTGCTAACACACGACTTTTCCGACTAAAACAGAGAACTTTGCCATGGAAATTTACCATCCAACATCAACCAGGAAAAACAAACCTGGCAGCAGATGCTACTTCTCGTTACCCTGCAGAGAACACAAAGGAATCTGATAATTCAGCCACTTGCAATCAAAATACTGATTTTGACAACACAGAATCACTAATAATAGCCTCGATACGAAATGACATAGATAAAATGATTGCAGTAACATGGGATAGTGTCAAAGCAGAGACAGAAAAGGATACCGATTTTAAAGCATTAATGTTAGCAATAGAAAACGGGTTCCCAAAAAATAAGAACAACTTCATACCAAATCTTTTACCGTTCTGGGAATACCGCAATGACTTGATGGTGTCCGACGGGGTTATAATATACAATGACAGAATTGTAATCCCACCTACTCTACGGAAAGAGATATTGGACGTACTACACTCAGCCCACCAAGGAGTATCGGGAATGACAGCCAGAGCTCAAGCCACTGTTTTCTGGCCAGGTATCACTCACAGCATACAAAGTAAGCGCGATAACTGTTGCAGCTGTAATCGAAATGCACCTTCTAATGCACGATTACCACCCATCCGACGTCACATCCCTGTGACACCATTTGAATGCATATTTGCTGACTATTTTGAATTCCGTGGCTGGGATTATCTGGTCATTGGAGATTTCTGGATGGACCGAAGCCTACAGAATAAAATCAGGAACATCAGAAATGGGTGCAAAAGGTCTTATCACATGCTTACGTAAACTATTTACAACATTTGGAGTCCCAGAAGAAATTTCAACCGACGGTGGCCCTCAATTCACCTCTAGAGAAACAAAAGAATTTCTACAACAATGGGGCATAACTCATCGCATTTCATCAGCCCACCACCCACAATCTAATGGAAGAGCTGAGCTTGCAGTTAAGTCAACAAAATGCCTCCTCGAAAATAATGTCGGACCAAATGGTGATCTCAATAATAACGCTTTTGTAAGGGCAATCCTTACAATAAGAAACACACCAGACCCTACTTGTCAGTTATCCCCCGCTCAAGTATTATTTGGCCATCCCATTCACGACGCCATGCCCAGGATAAAATCCAGAATACCTATGTTTAATAACGACCAATTCTTGAAAACGTGGAGACATGCATGGTCTGCAAAAGAAGAAGCATTACGAACAAGATATGCAAAGACCCTTGAATCACTTCAAGAACACACACGTTTTCTCACACCACTACATGAAGGAGACAGTGTCTTCATACAAAATCAAGTAGGGAACCACCCTAAAAAATGGGATCGTAGTGGAAAAGTTGTTGAATGTAAGGAAAATGACCAATACATCATTAAGGTTGAAGGAACAGGTCGACTAACATTAAGAAATAGAAAATATTTGCGCAAATTCCTCAACCCACTAAAGTCATACGAAACTGAAGTTGCATTGACTACACCACCAAGAACAAGCTCTAGTCACTATAACTCTGCCGATTTGCCAACACCATTTACAGAGTATGTCCCAGAAAGTAGCAACAAAGTCATACCATCCCAACCAGAACTAGCACCATCTACAGTATTGCTACCGTCTTCTACATTAGCACCAGCAGTACCACCACTACCTCTACCAACAACTCCAGTACCCTTACCGTTGATGCCAGCATCTTTATCAACAAGCTCGCCGCATCTAGCGATGCCACCTTTATTAAATACTGAAATCGTAGGAGATCAACCATTGAAACGTTCATCCAGGCTACGTATCCCCAAAAAATTCTACCAACCAGAAACCGGGAAATCTTTGACATTAAATGACTTTAAGAAATGAACCCAGAAATTATGTTTATATTCATTGACACTTAAAAACATGGAAGGGGATGTAGAAATAGTGACATTATTCATTTCTTGTTTTTATATTGTTTTTATATTGTTCTATATTGTTGTTGTTTAAACTTATTGTTATTTCATTTAGAAACTAACATTGTTTAAGATATAATTATAATTGAGAACAACGACTAACTTTTGTTTAATATTTAATACTGTTTTTTTTAAATATTGGTGATTAGTTTGTAACAGCTATTATATAAGTTAATATGCATTTTATTAAATAGAAAACATTTGTATTTTGTAGGTTTAAGGGCACTGGAACTGTTTCAAGTATTATTATTATCTAAAATTTAATGAATACTAAAAAAAAGCAAAAAAAACTATAAAAAACATGTTTTTAGAACCAGTCTGTTTTTTTTGCAAAAAAAACGTGTTTTTTTTAAAAAAAACACACCGTTTTTTTTGGGGTTGCAACTCTATTTATATATCATTAAATATTGTTTTATATATTTTTTACTATTTTTCATTTAGTTTTTAATTATGCAATCATTAACACAAAACTGTGGATATCCTTAAACGTATTTAAAAATACATAGATAGATTTGTTCTTCTATAAATGTTTCTTTTTACAACAGATCAAGAATGGACATTACTTCTTATAAGTACTGTTATCTTCATTATAATCATGTTTATCTTATGTTATTTTTTTTGTTTTAAAGTGTTTAACATAATATGTCAGTGCTCATGTCTGGATGAGGCAGAGCTTGAAGATCATCCTAATAATATTGGTTATATTAGAAGAGTTAGAAAAAAGGTTCCTTCTTCAAATTGTCTTTATTTAGAATTTGATCCAGACTTAAAGGTGTTAAATGGGTGTTTTTTCTTTAAAAAGAGGATATTGTTTAGAAACACTGTATGTACTATATGTTTAGAAGATTTTCATTTTAAAGAAAAGGTTGCTTTGCTTTTATGTGGACACTGCTATCATAAAGAATGTATAGAAAACTGGCTTGTTGTGAAAAATGATTGCCCTTTATGCAAAATTAATGTTGGAAAAGAGTTAATTGTTAATGAAAGAACTCCTTTAATTCAAAGCGTTTAATTGTCAAATTTTTGAACAGTTTATGAACAGTTATTAAATAATTATCAATCAAAGTTCTTATCAAAATGTATATGTAGAAAGATTTTTAATATGATTTTCTTAATATTCTTTTTTATAAAAAGTAACTGTTTATATGTGCTATATTTTGTTATATAATGTGTGATATTTTGTACTATAAAATATGTTATTTTCAGTTATAAATTATGTAATATATTTTAATAAGCATGATGTGTGTTTGAATAATTAATTTATTTAATATGATTTGTTGATGAAACATAAAATATTGTCTAAAAATGCTAGAGTTTTTTTTCAAAGTGTTCAAGTCTGTTTAAAAGTCACATTTAAATTATTAAATAAATTTAAAATATTTAAGCTTTTTTAAAAGATGCTGCTTATTAAATAGGTAGGTCATTTAAAAGGTAGGCTAGATGGGTTATTAAATAGATAGGTAAGCCATTTAAAAAATACTGATTATTAAATAGATAGGTAGGTCATTTAAAAGGTACTGCTTATTAAACTGCCTGTTTATTTTTGTTTACTGTTCATGCAGGCTTTAAAATTTTTAAAATTTAAGACTAAATCTTATATAAAAAGTTGTTATTTTTTGTGTTACAGATTAAGTATTTATTTTAATAGTATAAAAATATAATAATTTAAGTATTCATTTAAAAGGTACTACTTATTAAATTGTCTGTTTATATTTGTTTACAGTTTGTGTAGGCTTTAAAACTTAAAAGTTTTGAAAATTTATGACTAAACCTTGCAAAAATATGTTGTTCTTTTTTGCGTTACAGATTAAGTATTCTTATTTTTCAAATAATAAAATTTTGATTTCTTTTTTAGTCTTGAAAAATACTTTTTATTAATAAATTTGTCATCCATATAAGTAATTCAATAGACTTGACAAAATCTCTGACTTTAATTTTTTTTTTTTTTTGAGTGTAATGCAGATGTGTTCTTAATAAATTACCGTTATTCTAGAAATTGTTTTTAAGTAATTCAAAAAAGTGACTAAAAAAATTTCATTATTTCTTATTTCAGTTGTGCTTTCTAAGAAAATGATAATATGTTATCGATTTTTTTTTTTTTTCCATAAGGTATATTATTTTTTTTCTAAACTAATATACTTGTTGTAAGATTATCAGTTATATACATAAAAACAATAAATGTTAGTTCTAACTTTTTGGTGATAAAGGTGGAGATTATTTACAACAATTAAAGACAACTGTATTTTAATTTTTTTTTTTTATTAATTTTTTTAGAAGAAATATCAGAATAAAAAGTTACATCAATAGCGTCATCAGATCAATTAAGCAATGATAATCACAAAAACCATTTATAACATTTGATTTTCTAATTAATATAATGTTCAAATTGTTTGATTTTATTTAAACATCTAATCTCTTTTATCTCCATTTGATTTATGCAATTTTTTCAATAATCTACTGGGTATCTTTTAAATATAGTTTTTTATAAATATGATTCTTTTTTTGCAGGTTGTGTTTTGCAAATAAACAAGTTTAAAATGAAATTTAAGTAGACAGTGGTACAGTTATGATTTTCATTTTTGGTGTTAATCCATCACAACCTGGATACTATTCTGGGCTGGTCTATCAAAGTTTCAAGCAGTTTACAGTCTGAGGGAAAAGGGTACAAATTAACCAAAGTTGTACTTGCAGGTTACAAGGGAGAAAACTGTGAAATATGGTTGACTATAGAGAAACTATAGAGATACACAGAATAATGGTAATGGAGTGTTTATATTTTAACTACTTAACATAACTGAATTAACATTAAAAAAAAAAGAACATCTTTGTTTTACAATAAATAATTTTATTTGAATTAAAAATTTTCCCTTAAAGTTTATAGTATGTTGAGTTAACTAACGATTAAAATTATTTTTAATTTGTCTAATTTTTCTTAAATGTTTAACTCTAAAATCTTAGTTTTGTCATTGTTTATCAACATTTATCAACTGATCTAATAAGTATAACACATTATAACATACATGATTATGATCACATTTTAAAATAGCTATTCTGGTTAAGTAAGTATTCTTTTTATTTTGAAGAGTTAGGATCGGCATGGCTATTTCAAATAACGGTTCTTTCACTAGCGCTCAACTAAGATTTTGAATCTTTTATATTTCAAAATAAATTTCTTCAATTGTCTACATTATTTTTCAATGTGCAAATTTTTTAAACAGCCAAACAATATCAATAAAATTTTTTTTTTTTTTTGAACTGGAAAAACTTTTGTTATTTTAACAATCAAAATCAATATTAAAATGAAACTTTTTGTAAAAAAGCAAAAAAATGAAAAGCAAAAAAACCAGCTACATATTTTGCTTGATAATTACAAAAGCCTATAAATTTTCAATAGTGTACCATGCCAAATTGCAGGTTCAATTACAAATTTATCAATAATTCCTTTTAGATTATATAAAAAAATTATATGTTAAGTTACTTGCGTTTATAAGGGAAATTAGATTTTGTAAGTTGCATTTTCAAGAAATACTTTACGCTTTTTTTTTTTGTTATTTCACAATTCTAAACTTTTTTTTTAATAGATAACTTGTTTATTCACACATTCCATTATTTATTCAAACACTCTATCCATAAAGAGTAAAGAAGACAAATTGTAATTGTTTACACTTAATTGTTTGAACTATATATATAATTAAAAAAAAAAAACGCTAAATAAAAACACTAAACAACAACAATTCTCTTAATTCTAATAGCTTAAAGTCATGCTAAAAACAATAATGCAAATGTGGTTTAAAATCATTACTCTTGTTTACAAAAAATGACCGCAAGAAAATGATTATGCTTTCATTATCAACAAAAAATTCCCCTATCTTGATAAATAATTTTAAAAGTCAAAAAATAAAAAGATAAAAAATTTTAAAGAAAGGATTTTCTTTTGACAATAACTTTGACAATAAATGGTGGTTCTTACTTTTTGGTGATAAAGGCAGAGATCACATGAATAGTTATGTTGAAACAATTCAATATCAATTCAAGAACTTCTGATTCTGTTGACAATGTGTATATTTGTTGTATGTTTAGAGCACATGATAGTGTTGAAAATATGATGAGGCTTGGTATCCAGTTTATTACCGACAGCTAAAATGCAAGAACCTTGTTTCAAAATGAAAGATCGTTGCAATGTCAAGGTATTTTTTTAATTAAACTGCCAAATTTTAAAACAGCTTATGAATAGTTATTAAAAAAATTATCAATTAAACTTCTTAATGAAATATATATATATATATATATATATATATATATATATATATATATATATATATATATATATATATATATATATATTTGTGTGTGTGTGTGTGTGTGTGTGTTAATGTAAAATTCTTGCATAGAAACAAATTGAATTTAAAATGGACTAATGATGCATGATCAAGTCAGTGTTGGGTTCCATTTGACAAAGTAAAATGTCAAATAAATGCTTCATCCATTAAGGGTAGAAGTGCTCATGACTACAAACTTGCTTATCATGATTATGACAGTATTATGAGTTGTCTAAATCAGAGATAAAGAAATTCTTTCAGCATTTCTATTTTTTATTTTTATTTTTTTGAAATATAATATAACTTGCGCTATTAGGTATCCTTTTAAAATAAAAAAGTATTGCACATAAAATGCAAAAATCATGTCATAAGATCGAGTATAGGTCTCTAAATTTTTTTTGGTGATTGTCTTAACCTTGCCAGTAGAAGGTTTCATCATTTATTTCACCTGTTTACACTATTTGCTATGCCTGCAATGTGTATGTAATTTATTATATTATTCAAAAAAATTGATATTTTAATAGGCTGCTGCAAGTGTTAAATTAACCTTTATCACAAAATTTTAATTTTTTCCACAAGTGGTTGTTATAAGTGCACAAAAGTAGAAAAAGATTAGTACTGCCTGTCTGTAGGTATTGAACTGCTGCTCATATAAGTTTCCAAAAATGTTCCTATTATTGCGTTAAAAGTTTAGGGTACCATAACTCATCAATTCCTTAAAGCCAATCAAAAACACCTACAAAATTGCATTATTTGGGTTAAAAACTATTACCATACAAAATTTCAAATGATCATTTTTTTTATTTACAAAGTTATTCTCTGTCAAAAATCAAAAATATTTACTGTAAGCTCCAGGTACTTAAATTTTTCTGATATTGGTCAATATTAAATCAATCATAACTTTTGAACAATTTGGTAAGCAAGCTAAAATTTTGAGGTTTGTATTTTTTTCATTAATACTGTGGGTGGTCAAAATTTGAAGCAAATTTGAGGTAGTACCCTGGGGACCATTAGGTGATTTGATATAGAATGATTCATATACATATATTTTAAATAAATTTTTTCTTAATATTTTTATTTTAAAAAAGTAATTTTTTATATGTGCTATATTTTGCTAAAAATCATGCAAGAACCTTCTTTCAAAATGAACGATGGTCATAATGGCAAGGTATTTTTAGGTGGTGGTTATCATTTGCTTGGTAATAATATGGGTCACCAAGGACCCAGTGCTACTTATCCGTCATCAATTGACAAAACAATGTTATTACATTTGCAAAACCATGGTGGTTAGTCACACACTTGTGAAACTGTCGGGTAGAAGTAAGAACTGTTAATGACTACATTGTAAATTATAACAAAAATCTGATGCTAATGATACCTGTAATAATAGTATAAATTAGGGATGTGAAAAATCTGAATTCCAGCCGGAATTTGTGATTTTTAGATTATTATTATATTTCATGAATTATAATATTTCCAGCCAGAATTTATTTTTTACTTTTTTTTAAGAAATATGACACAGACTGTGTACATTAAATCAAAAAATCATTGTCCTACAGGCATTAAAGAACTATAGGTAAACAAAGTCGATGTACTAAAGCCATTAAATATTTTTTTATTTTTATATTAAAATGTTACCACTTTGAGCAAGTCTCCACAGGAAATGCAACAAGCGAAAATATAAAAATATTTTAGACTCCTTAACTATAGCTTTGGCTAATTTTATTTGCAGTATTCACTTATGTAAGGGTTTCTTAAAGTTTAGAAATATTAACATTTAAATAATTAAGAAGTATAAATATTTATGAAATAAGAATCAAATTAATGAAATAGGTTATTTATATATATATATATATATATATATATATATATATATATATATATATATATATATATATATATATATATATATATATATATATATATATATATAGTAGTAATATGTTTTAGTAGTAAAAATTATGTAGTTATTTTTTTAATCTCGTCAAAAAATCAATTATATAGCTTTGATATCATTCATCAAGCACTCTTGTTGATTAAACAATCAAGTATGGATAAAGAAATCAGGGTGATTATTTGATGTGTCAATGGGAGCCTTTGGCAGTGTTGAGGTATGCAAACTTGTAGGAAATTTTCTTTTGTTTCAGATTTTGAAATTTTACAATAAAAATGAATTTGGATTATACAAGGACGATGGTTTAGCAGTTTTTGAAAATAGAAGTGGACCTGAAATAAAAAAAGTTAAAAAACATATTGTCGATATATTTAAACAAAACGATCTTCTTATTTCAACACAGTGCAACATGAAAGTTATAAATTATCTAGACATCACGCTAAATCTCAATAACCACACTTTCCAACCGTATTCCAAACCCGGAAACTTTTTAAACTATATTCACGTTGATTCAAACCATCCACCCAGTATTTTAAAACAACTTCTGCGTTCTATCAAGTTAAGATTATCTGCAAATTTGTCAAGCGAAGAAATTTTTCATGTCAGTAGAAAAAAATTCATTATACATGTCAGTAGAAAAAATTTCTACTGACATGTATAACGAAGCATTGTTAAAATCAGGTTTCGTTCATAAGCTTTCTTATCATCCTAACATAAAATCAACTCATGCTAAGCACCGTAAACTCGATATCATTTGGTTTAACCCCCTTTTAGCAAAAAACCTTAGCACAAATATAGGAAAAAAAATTTTAACCCTTATCGATAAACACTTCCCTGTTAATCACAAGCTTCATAAGATTTTCAATAGAAACACAATAAAAGTAAGTTACAGCTCCATGCTAAATATGAAATCTATCTTAAATGCACACAGTAATCATATTTTAAATAACAACAAAATTACCACTAAAAGCAATTGCAACTGCCTTGATAAAAAGACCTGCCCTTTAGCAAACAAATGCCTAACAAATAACATCGTATACCAAGCTAATTTAACTTCCAATGATCCTGCCCAAATTTCTATAAACTAATTTTACATCGGTATAAGTGAAACACCTTTCAAAATTAGATACGCTAATCACATAAAATCATTTAATATTATCAGGTATAAAAAAGACACTGAGTTATCAAAGAAGTTTTGGAAATTAAAGGAAGCTAAGTTGAATCCTATAGGTAAATGGAAAATAATCAAACAGTCCAATGCTTATAACCCTACGAAAAAATCTTGTAGTTTATGCTTAAATGAGAAATATGAAATTCTATTCTCTAGAAATTTAAACTTATTTAATAAAAGAAGTAAAATAATATCCAAGTGCAGGCATAAAAACAAATTTCTTCTGGCTAATTTTGATATTGGTGATTAATCCAGTTTCTACGTTTCTTTTTGTTTTGTTTATGACATCAGAACTCATTCTATTGTTGGTTTTGTATTTTGTATTTTTAACGGTTTTTCTTGATTAAAAAATATATTTATGGCTGATGATTGCCGAAATGACATGAAATTTTAAGATCCATCATATAGTTGCATTTTTTCATTTAGTTAAACTTTTATATATAATAAATGATCTGTTTTGTTAAGAATTAATTTACATTATATTGATCACTCTAAAAAAACGTACAAGAAGCTTTGTATCTCTATTTGGTACAAAAAAACTTGCAACTATATATATATATATATATATATATATATATATATATATATATATATATATATATATATATATATATATATATATATATATATATATATATATATATATATATATATACATATAGTTTTAAAGAGCGCGTTAATAAACTAGACCAGAAAATGTTTAAAAACATAAATATATATATTTTTTTTAACCAAACCAAACCCTCAGTCGATGTAGCAGCACTCCCTTGCGAGTCAGGCTATTTGTCAGTCGATGGAGCAGCACTCCGTTGTGAGTCAGGCTATAAGATAGTTGATGTAGCAACACTCCGTTGGGAGTCAGGCTAAAAGATAGTTGATGTAGCAACGCTCTGTGCATGTTTTAAAAATATATTTTAATAAAACAACAACAAAAACACCATCAATTAAAAAAAACTTTCTAGTCATTATTGTTGCAGTTTTTAAAAACAATAAAACTTCCGCATTAATTTAATTGCTTTGACATTTCGACAACAATAAAATACAGCTTAAGTGTTGAGGTAGCAAAATTATAGTCAAAAGAGACTTTTTTTACCATAAAAGTCTCTTTTGACTACAATATATAAATAATAATAATAATAATAATAAATAATAATAAATAATAATAATAATATTAATAACATGTTACTTTAAAAATAGTAATATTAATAATATAGTAATTAATGTAAATAATATAGCAATTTAAATAAATCGGTATAATTTTCTATACAACAATCGCTTATACATACAAAGTTACAGTTACAAACAGTAATAAACTGACAAAACGTAACAACTAACGATGACATAAAAATAACTATTGCTAAAAAAAAACTACAATGATTTAGTAAATATATTAATCATAGCTCTTATAATATCATAACCAAAATATATTGCAAATAATAAAAAAATAAAAATGTAACCAGAAACTAATTAAATAAAATGTAAACAGAAAAACACTTAAAAAATCAAAACAAAACAAAAGATACAACAAACATTACGAACAAAACAAAAAATTATGTTAAATATTTTTGACAACAAAAAAAAACAATAAAAAAAACAGCAACATAAAATAAAAAATAAAAACAACAACAAATAAAGAAGAAAAATATATAATATTACATGGTAGAATAAAACATATATAATAAATAGCTAAAATGAAACTTAAAACAAATAATATATAACTTTATAAAAAATTATATATCACTATTAAAAATAATTAATAACTAAAAAATAAAACAATAAATGACTAACAAAATATATAAAGTAAAACTTAATACGCTAAAAACCAAAGAAAAAACATTACTACAAGACTGCATAACAGCAAAACTAAAAAATAAATCTTAAATAAAGAATCCTAAGAAATATATGAAATAAACCTAAAGAAATATATAAAAAAATAAAAAAATCTTGATTTGCCAATCTTTTTTTGATGTATAGAAATGGTTATTATTTTCTTTCTTTTCCATTCATTTTTATTTCATTCATTAGTTGTTGCTTTTTTTAACTTCTATTTTCATTAGTTTTTTACTTATTTCCTTTCAAATATTTCTTTTTTTTTTCTTCTTTGAAAACATTTATTCATTCTTCTTTTTTAGTTGATTTTATTTTTCGTTTAATTTATAAATGTTTACTTTTTTCTTTTTTCCTCTTTTAAAAAAGTTATTATCATCCGTTAGAAAAAAGCGTCCACCATTTTTGATGTCATTGCCATATATATGTATATATATATATATATATATATATATATATATATATATATATATATATATATATATATATATATATATATATATATATATATATATACATATATATATATATATATATATATATATATATATATATATATATATATATATATATATATATATATATATATATATATATATATATATATATATATATATAATATATATATATATATATAATATATAATAGAGACTTTTTTACCATAAAAGTCTCTTTTGACTACGATACAAGGATATATATATATATATATATATATATATATATATATATATATATATATATATATATATATATATATATATATATATATACATATACATATATATATATATATATATATATATATATATATATATATATATATATATATATATATATATATATATATATATACCTGTGTATATATATATATATATATATATATATATATATATATATACCTGTGTATATATCTTATACTGCTGAGTTAGGTGAGCGTGATGACATCATACTGAAATAGCCTGCTGCGGGGGCTTCAGTACATACATCGACTGACAAATTGCCTGACTCGCAGTGGAGTGCTGCTACATTGGCTGTGGGTTTGCAAGCCAATAATTTAGGGGAAAAATGACCGAAAAATGATTATTTTCGGCCATTTTGAGGAAGGGGTAATTTTTTTTTTTTTTTAATTTTTTTTTTTTTACTTTACATATATAGGCCTATATTTTTGTTTAAAAGTGTATGGTTTTTTTCCTACCTCTCAAAAAGCTATTTTTGTTAGTACTGAAAATGGTGAAAATTGGTAATTTTTGTAGTTAGTGTTAGGTTTATATATATATATATATATATATATATATATATATATATATATATATATATATATATATATATATATATATATATATATATATATATATATATATATATATAATACATACATACATATATGTGTGTGTATATATGTATATGTATATATATATGAAATAAATAACACACAGACCCCTTTGACTGTTCCCAAAACATGTCTGAGGGGAAAACCAACTTATGCATGAGGGGGCAAGATTTCTCCCTTATGCATGAGGGGGCAATGAACTGCCAGAAAGTATAAACAGTATTTGGCTGTAATCACTGCAATGTCAGTTACCTATATTTAAAAAACTGCTATTTATCTGCCTTGAAAAATCAAAATGAGTATGAAGAAATAAAAAGATAAAACTATATTTGAAATTTTATAATAAAAACAATAACATTTGACAATCTAATCAATTATCAAGTTTATTTCTTTATCTTTTTCTGGATCACACCAAGCCCATCATTAAATTTACTTTTTGAAATCGTACTGGATTTTCGTTTTAATGATCTGAATACAGATCAAACTTTGTCTACTGTGATTAATCTGTTGTGTTTTTCAGTTTCATCAGAATATCTATGAACAAACTGTCCCATCATACCTAAAGACCTTTCTGAATGGTCATTTACAAAAGTTAAAGTTTCAGCATATTTTTGAAAACTTTTGAAGCATGATTGAGTATGCCAATAGTTTGGTGGAAGTGAGAGCCAGTCTTTAACTCGTTGCTTATCAAGCCCAATCATGTCAAAAATCAGGTAAGAAAAGTTATTTACCAAGACAGACAAAGATGGTGGTTTTATACCAATATTTGTATCCATTTTATAAATTTCCTTGATATCAACTTTTACTTTGTTCTCAGGCCTCAGGCTTAAAATAATCAGAGCTAGGCATATCAAACGACAGGATTGCTGATGCAATTTTTACCTTTTCCTCTACTGTTAACTCATCATCTAGCAAAGCTAGAGGTATCATGGTTGAATCCAAATACCAACAATGTTTATACTGAGACTCTAATACAGCATCAACAGCTATTGGGTTTGCACATATATTTTTGGTACAGATGCATTTGATGTATGGCCGTAATGTCTAGAAACGGAGCTTTGATGACATCATCAGATTGTAGATACCATTTTGCATAAAAGCAAACAATAAATTCTGTTATAAGCTTAATTTCAGTTTTCAGTTTATCATTTTCTTGAACAAACGCAAGTTGATTGGATAAAAGTTGAAGCTTTAGATAATAAATTGCTTTTCCTAAAATCTTGCATGATGAATAGCTCCAGTTTTTATAAGTGACAACTAATTCTGCAAGCTCACTTCTATCATCTCTTATAATACCTGGTTTACCAACATAAGCTCTGCAAAATGTCAATGACTTATTAGCTGCCATTTTTAAAAGACTGCTTTTAACCTTATTCCAATCAAATCGTATCAGCTGAACTGGATTATAATTAAAATTAGGTTCTTCAAAAATATTTTTTAGATTTTTGAAAAGAGGAATATCAGGTCCATTAGTTGGTCACTAATTTCCGAAAGTGAAGCATTCTTAATTCAGTCACATGATGCCTACAGGCTATTTGGAGAAGATATTTATCCAGTTATTTAGATATTCTAGAAACTGATCCTTTATTTGTCCCAGTGTTGGATGATGTTGTATCAAAGCATATTCCTCTAGTTTTTGACGTAAGTTTTTATTTTCTTTTTTCATTTTTCTATAAGCAGTAGATTGGCTGCTTTTAACTTCTTTAAGATCAACACCTGATTGGTATAGAATTGCATTTGTTATCTTCTGTAAAACATTTGGCAATATATCACAGGCTGTAGCAGTAAGTGAAACAT